AAAGATTTTATTTATTTGAGAGAGAGAGCACATGAGAGGGGAGGGTCAGAGGGAGAAGCAGACTCCCTGCCGAGCAGTGAGCCCGATGCAGGACTTGATCCAGGGACTCCAGGATCATGACCTGAGCCGAAGGCAGTCACTTAACCAGCTAAGCCACCCAGGCGCCCCTTACTGATTTAATAATATAATATCAATAACAACAATATCAAATATCCTTAGTGGTCCCCCAAAATGTCTTTTATAGCTGGGGTTTTTTTTTTCTCCTAATCCAGGAAAAGAATAAACTAGGTTTATCTTGAAAGACACTGCTTTTAAAAAAAAAAAAAAGTTACCCTATAAGAAGCAGAAGAACAGCATGTAGAATCTTTACTAATTAGAATATAAATTCACAATGGGATGATGGGAAGAGCTTTAATTTTGATGAGTCCTCTTAATATTGAGAAGTGAAATGATTATGAAACATCAATCTGATTTCATGGAAGGCATTAGGAAATACATTCTATATCTTGGCAGGACTAGCTAGGCAAAATACCATCAAACAAATTGATTTAGTGGTGATATAGGCCATGGTAGTCTGTGTTACTGGTTTTTTCTAAGGAGATTCTACCCTCTTGTTCTCTAGGATATGAGTTTAATTTATTGCAATAAACTTTCATTGTAAACATAAAAGTAAGTACTACTGATCTTAAATCCCAGACCAATTCCCAAGCCTTCATTATTTTCCAAGTGACATCAGTAATTTGAATGATGATACATTTCAGCTCTTTACATTTATATTTTTCCAGACTATGCTCTGAGCCTTTTAAGAAGGTACAAATGCAATTAAAAAATTTTCTTAAAGAATAAGTCCGTTACTATTCATAGTAGTAAATCTTATTTTAAAGAAAAATTCCACTGCTCTTTCTAATATCAATAATTATTTGTCAATTCTGTCATATCCTGAGAATTGCAAAGGAGAAGGATAAAACCTGAAGTTTATGTAAAAAAATCTGTTTAGGTACACAGTATACTTCTCATAGATACAAGCTACGTGTTTCTATGGTTTTTGTTGGAAAAGGAAATACCAATTGAGCATTATCCAGTGGGACTCTCGGCCATGATCTATCTACAGGAACCTTGTTTAAATATTAGTTTACATAGTGGCTAGAACGATGTCAGTGTGGCTGAGAATCTTCATTTTGAAATGTTTACTTGGCTAACCAAATAATTATTGAACTGACCTACCATGTGTCAATGTAGAGTGCAGATTTCCAGAGGTGGAATAATTTTGATAGGCACATAGGGATTTCTCTTTTAGATTGGGATGAAAGGTAAAGTAAGACCATTCAGTGCTTATTTGAGTATGTGTGGCTATCTTTAAGAATGTGTATGAGAAAATGAAGCGAACAGAAGTATTTTTTTATTTATCAGTTCTGATTGTGAAAGTATAACTGTTTCATAGTCCAATGGAATTTATTTTAATAGTGTGATAATTATGTAAAAACCCATACACAAAATAAAACATCTGTTTTCTATGGATACATATATCCATATATATCCATATGAATTCACACCAAAAAATCCAAAAGGATATATATTTTTTATAGGTTTTTTTAAAGATTTTATTTATTTATTTGAGAGAGCGAGAAAGAGAGAGCACATGGGGGGGGAGGGCCAGAGGGAGAAGCAGACTCCCTGCTGAGCAGGGAGCCCGATGCGGGACTCGATCCAGGACTCTGGGATCATGACCTGAGCCGAAGGCAGTCACTTAACCAACTGAGCCACCCAGGCACCCCGAAAAAGATATATATTAAGCTGATAATAATGGTTATCTCTGTGGATGGGACTTAGGATGAGGATCAAAGGTAAAGGACCTTATCTGCAAAATTTTGGAATGCTTCACAAATCTGCTTGTCATCCTCGCACAGGAGCCATGCTAATCATCTCTGTCTTGTTCCGATTTTAGTATATGTGCTGCTGAAGCAAGCACCAATGTAATTATTTTTAAATGTATGATTATTATTAGTTTTCCACATAAATATAAATAAATTATTAAAGGCAGAAAAATGGGAATGAAGATATCTTCCACAATTTTATTTTTTCACTATTTTTTTTTTTAAGATTTTATTTATTTATTTGACAGAGAGAGAGAGACATAGCGAGAGGGGGAACACAAGCAGAGGGAGTGGAAGAGGGAGAAGCAGGCTTCCTGCAGAGCAGGGAGCCCGACGCGGGGCTCGATCCCTGGATCCTGGGATCATGCCTGAGCTGAAGGCAGACACTTAATGACTGAGCCAGCCAGGCACCCCATTTCACTATGTATTTTAAATTCACGATGGTTTTTGTTTTCGTCTTTAATTTTTTTTTTTTTTTGGTGCCACGCTATCCATGTATCATACCAGCTGCACCTGTTTTTCACATGAAAAATAATTTTTATGTAATAAAACTTTTCAGGAAGAAATCTGAAAGTTGCATACGGAATTCATTTATATTCTTGATCTTCTCATGTGAGATTGCAGCAGCTTAATTGTTGAGAATGTGATTTATACATCTTCCTGTTGCCTACAGTGCTTTAAACATAGAACACTGAATGTGATCAATAAATATTGCTTATTTGAATGAATAAGACTACTGAAGGAGACAGGATCAGGACTTGTGTGAAATGACACTGGGAATGTAGTTAATTCTGTTGGCACATGGATGATGTAAAGCTTGTATCAGATGATTTGTCTTCTTTTAAAGTCCCTTTGGGAATAGAATGAAACTTCTTTCAAAGGTATATATAGGGCCAGGAGTGTATTAATCCAGGTATCAAATGCAGGAGTGAATTTAACTAATGGTATTGCAAAAGCCTAATTCGTGGTCTGCAATTCTTTCAAGAAATGAAGGCTGCTAAACTATCCATTCTTCATGATGTAGTACATTCTTCATGAACATAGCTATTCATGGGGATCACCTGCTTTTTTTTTTTAAGATGTTATTTATTTATTTATTTGAGAGAGCAAGAGTGGGAGGAGAGGCAGAGGTAGAGGGACAAGCGGACTCCCCACTGAGCAAGGCTCCACCCCAGGACCCCTGAGATTATGACCTGAGCCAAAGTCAGACGCTTAACCCACTGAGCCACCCAGATGCCCTGGGGATCACCTGCTCTTAAGGAGAACATCTGTATGGGGCACCTGGGTGGCTCAGTCATTAGGCGTCTGCCTTTGGCTCGGGTTGTGGTCCCGGGGTCCTGGAATCGAGCCCCACATCAGGCTCCCGTAGGGCTCCCGGGCTCCACAGGAATCCTGCTTCTCCCTCCCCCACTCCCCTGTTAGTGTTCCCTCTCTTGCTGTGTCTCTCTCTGTCAAATAAATAAAATTTTAAAAAGAAGATCATCTGTATACTCTTTTTTAAAATTTCAGTTAACCGGGGTGCCTGGCTGGCTCAGTCAGTAAAGATGCAACTCTCAACTCTCAATTTCAGGGTCATGAGTTCAAGGCCCACGTTGGACATGGAGCCTACTTCAGATAAATAAAATTTCAGTTAACCACATAGGGTTTTTAAAATCTTTGTTTCCAGGGCACATGGCTGGCTCAGTTGGTAGAACATGCAACTCTTGATCTCAGGGTTTTGAGTTCAAGCCCCACTATGGGTGTAGAGCTTACTTAATAATAATAATAAAATAGGGGTGCCTGGGAGGCTCAGTCATTAAGCGTCTGCCTTCAGCTCAGGTCATGATCCCGGGGTCCTGAGATCGAGCCCCACATCGGACTCCCTGCTCCACCAGAGGCCTGCTTCTCTCTCTCCCACTGCCCCTGCTTGTGCTCCCTCTCTCGCTGTCTCTCTCTGTCAAATAGATAAAATCTTTCAAAAAAAAATAATAATAATAAAATCTTCATTTCCGATCAGTTTTTTTGGTGACCTGGTTCGTTTGGATTTTATCAGACTTCAGTAGAGTCTGTATTATTCTTTTTTAAGATTTTATTTATTTTTTAGAGAGCGAGCGAGAGAGAAACAGCATGAGAGGGGAGAGGGTCAGAGGGAGAAGCAG